AGATACAGATACAGATACAGATACAGATACAGATACAGATACAGATACAGATTCGAATGTATTTGTTCAAACATCCATATCGATGATATTTTACTTATCTGTCATATTTCATATATCATTTCAATTCGTAATACAAAAGTAAAGAACTTAGACTAAAGATTGTAAGAAAGAAATAAACATATCAAATGGAGGCGCTGTCCGTCTTCATTGTTGGGCTTCTGCAGCTGCTGGGCTACTCGTACTTTATGTCACAGCCGGAGGATCAGTGCTCACCGGCTCCTTGCCTGGGCAGCTGGCTCTTTCTGCTGGCCACGCTCTGTTTCCTGTGGGACCTGAGCATATATCCGCGCCGCTTCATGCACATGGCCTGGCAATGTCAGCTGTTAGTCGAGATTGTGGCTGGCCTATTTCTGGCAGAGATAGCGATGCTGCGCATTTGGTGCGGTCTCGAGCAAATTATCTATTGGCTGACGGAGCAGTTAATTCATGCGCTTCGAATAGACGACTGCCGGCACGGACTGCACCAGTACTGCCTGCACGGGTTGACCACCGTGACCGTGAGCGGTGCAATTGTGTGGTTTGTAATCAGAGCTACCGATGTACCCTACTATCTAAAGTGCTATGTGCACAAGATAAAGCGCGACGGGCAGCATGTGATACGCATCCTTGGCTGCATTGGCCGAATGAACAGCTGCGAGAGACGTCGCACTCTGAGAGTCTGTAGGCGGGCCCTATTTTCAAGATATGGCGAGACTACCAGTTCTGAGGGTGAGGAAGATGGCGACGGAGATGGGGTCGAGTATGGGAATGGTGGTGCCGATGAGATTGGGGATGGAATTGAGGATGAGGATGAGCTTGATGACGTGGATGGCATTTGGGATATGGAGGAGGATGAGTTCGACAATGAGTACACCGATGAAGATGGGATTGAGTACGACGATGAATATGGGGAGAGGAGTGAAGCTGGAGATGAAGATGAAGATGAATAGCGATTGAGAGCCAACACTGACCATGGCTGCGTGTCTAGCCCACTAAACAAATCATGCGTCCGCATTCGCTTGCCCACATTGCTTTCCATCTATTTGGAATTTACATTGCGATTGCTGCATATCTCGACACGATTTCTGTGCCACACGCAAAGGAAATTTACTTTTCCTCGCTCTCGCCCCCAACAGCCACCACGTTTCTCTTTCTTTTTTTCGGCTATCTGTAACAATAAATTTTGTTGCACGAACGAACGGAGAAGCGGAAAATAAAGAGAATTTGCGTTTGCTGACTGTGAAATTCTTCGACTTTTGTCTGCACGTCATAGACCCTAAATGGCTAGGCTGGTCTTCAACTGTTGAATGAGAGCTCCAACCCAAATGTGAGCTAATCACTGAGCTATTTAACTGTTGAATGCCAATTATTTATAGATACGGTGCACAGGAAGAAACTGTCTTGGCGACGGCACGTAGAGGCCTATGTATCCTTACCGATTGTGGTCATTGTTGGATGACAGTTTCTATGGAGTTGTGTAACGTGTCAGCTCAATTGTTGTTCACTCCAATGGACAAGTCTACTAATTGCTTAATATACTTTACAACCGTAGTAGACCTAAGATATAGCTCGTCGAAGAGCATATAAATACGATCTCGATTACTAATAATTTGTTTGATTATTCGTCCCATTTTCCATTTCTTTCTTTCAAGCAATGAAGTAACCAACCATATGCAGTTAACAGAATCTGGTAAAGTTAGAAGCCGCTATCCAAAATGGAACGAAAATGAATATTATATAAAACGGGCATGAAATTCAATAGAAAGTTTTTAAGTTTAATATCATATGCCTTTGCAGTCAAGACGTTTAAGATGAAATATTAATAACCGATATCTTCTTCATTGCTAAAATTAAAACGGAAACAGTTATCAATTTACTGTTTCCTACTGTGGTAGCCTCTTCCGTACTTTTCTGTCATTTTTATCTCTTGTTGTCTACACCTCTCTTTTGATAGTTTCGTTTCCCTTTTCATATATTTAGCACTGATTATTTTCTAGATTATATATATATATATATATATATATATATATATATATATATATATATATATATAT